GGGTAAGCTAGGATGATTGCGTTAACGCCTTACAGCATAACCAGTGGAGGCAAGGAGGGGTACCTGCACACCCCCGACGGCACGACGTTACCAGTAGTACCAGTTTACGACATAACTAGTGGAGGCGAGGAGGGATAACTCCACGCCCCCCTACTTGCAGTGTTACGGTGGTAGCAGAGGAGGCTGACTCCACGCCCCCCTGCGCCGCTAGGGCATAACAGTGGCGGCAGCGGGAGGGCTACCTCCACGCCCCCCGCACCACGGCATTACAGGTGCCTTATTTTAGAGGTTTTATTTCTTTTAGTTTAGGTTTGTTGTTTTTTTTGTGTTGCACTAGCCTGGGTGTTTACACTGTTATAGTTGCTGGGTGGTCCTCTAATTCTAATTATTCTTTATTAGGGGGACTTCGTTCTGTGGCGCAAACGATTTCTTATGAGGTAAGTGTGGCTTTGATTTTATTGTCTTTTGTTTTTTTGGTTTGTAGTTATGATTTGGTCAGTTTTTGGTCAGTTTTCATTACTTTCAGACTTATTTGTGGTTGATTTTTTTTACTTTTCCTCTTTCTTTGGTTTGGTTTATTTCTTGTTTGGCCGAAACTAATCGTACTCCTTTTGATTTTGCTGAAGGCGAGTCTGAGTTAGTTTCTGGATTTAATATTGAGTATGGTGCAGGGGGGTTCGCTTTGATTTTTCTTGCTGAGTATGCGAGTATTTTGTTTATGAGACTGTTATTTTGTATTATTTTCTTAGGGTGTGATTTGAATTCTCTTTTCTTTTATATTAAGCTTTCTTTTCTTTCTTATTTGTTTATTTGGGTTCGGGGCACGCTCCCTCGGTTTCGATATGATAGGTTGATGTATTTGGCATGGAGGGGGTTTTTACCTTTGTCTTTAAATTTTTTGTTGTTCTTTTTGGGGGTTAGGCTGTTTCTTTTCCCCCATTTTTAATGTATATTATTTTAAGTATTGTAGTAAGTTATTAGGGGGTTTTAACCCCTTTATTTGTGCTTTCAAAACACATGCTTATCCTTGTAGCTTTATAACTATTTATTTAGTTGGTCTCAGTGTTTTGTTGTTAAGGGTGTAATGATGTAGTATATGAAGTAAATTGTTGTTAGGATTTGCCCCGTTACAATGTAAGGGTCTTCTACTGGGCGGGCCCCAATTCATGTTAGTAGGATTACGGTGTTAGTTATGGTTCAAAATATTAGTTGGTTGGTGGGGTAGAATTGGGTTCCTGTAAATTTTGATTTGTAGGCTGGCAGGGCGAATAAGATCGCAATGGATATTACTAGGGCGATAACTCCTAGTTTGTTGGGGATTGATCGTAGGATTGCATATGCAAATAGGAAGTATCATTCTGGTTGGATGTGTACTGGGGTTACCAATGGGTTGGCCGGGATGAAGTTATCTGGGTCTCTAAGGAGATATGGCTCTTTCAGGGAGAGGGTTGACAGGGCTGTGAATAGGACGATGAAGCCCACGATGTCTTTGGTTACGAAGTACGGGTGGAACGGGATTTTATCTGTGTCTCTTTTTAGACCTAAGGGGTTGGTTGACCCTGTTTGGTGTAGGAACAACAGATGTACTATTGCTATTGCTGCGATTACGAATGGTATGAGGAAGTGAAGGGCGAAGAATCGCGTTAATGTGGCGTTGTCTACTGCGAAACCCCCCCATATTCATTGGACTAGGGTTGTGCCAATATAAGGGACTGCTGATAGGAGGTTTGTAATTACTGTTGCTCCTCAAAAGGATATTTGTCCTCATGGCAATACGTACCCCAGGAAGGCTGTTGCTATTGTTGTGAATAGGATTAGCACCCCGATTGATCAGGTGTGTATTAGTTTGTACGATCCATAGTAAATGTTTCGTCCAATATGTAAGTAGATACAGATGAAGAATATCGATGCTCCGTTGGCATGCATAGTTCGTAGGATTCACCCATAGTTTACGTCTCGGCAAATGTGTGCTACTCTGGAAAAAGCAGTTTCTGTATTAGGGCAATAATGTATGGCGAGGAATAGCCCTGTGGCGATTTGTGCGATTAAGCACACTCCTAATAAGGAGCCGAAGTTTCACCATGTTCTAATGTTAGTGGGGGTGGGGAGATCAATTAGGGCTCCGTTGGCAATTTTGATTAAGGGGTGGGACGTGCGTATGGGTTTGTTCATTTATGTTGTCTGTCGTAATGGGCCTTTTGATACGTCAGTAATTTTTACTGCTACAATTAGTGTTATTAGTAGGTATAGCGCTATTATGATGGTTATGCTTCCTCTTGGTTGGTTATATAATTTTCTTATTATTAGTATGGTTTCGTTTCTTGTTGCATAGTGTGTTGTTGAGTCTCTTCTGGCGAGGGGGGTTGTATTTCTTATTATTGTTGATGCTAATATTGCTCTGGTTGATACGATCACTATTTTTGTGGATAGTGTAAATATTTCATTTGATGCAAGTCTTGCTACGTAGATGAACAGTACTAATATCCCTCCAACAAAAACTATGAATGGGATGTATTGGAATCAGAATCTTTGGTGTATTAAACCTCTGATTAAGCATACTATTATTGTTTGCGTTAATAGCAGCAGCCCTATGGCTAAGGGGTGATTTATTTGTGTGAATGTTATTCCTAATAGTGTTCTTGCTGCAATTAGTTTTTTGATTTCAAGGGGTAGTTTAATTTTAAAATGTTAACTTTGGAGGTTATTGACGGGGGTAAAAGCTCTTTCCCTTGAAGTTTTAAAAGGTCGTACTTATTTTTGGTTTACAAGACCAATATTTTCATTAAATTATTAAAACTATTTAGAATGTTAATACATCTTTATTTCTCTTTTCTTTTCTTTTGTGGTATTTGGGTTTCTTCTTCTAATCGTAAGCACTTGTTGGCTACTTTGTTGAGATTGGAATTTATTTATTTGGTTCTTTTTGTTGTTATTTATTTTTATCTTTGTTGTTATGATTATGAACTTTATTTTGTTATGCTTTTTTTAGTTTTTTCTGTGTGCGAAGGGGCGCTGGGTTTGTCTATTTTAGTGTCTATGATCCGCGGGTTTGGTAATGATTTTTTTTCAGTCTTGTAGAGTCTTGCAGTGTTAAGGTTTTTATTTCCTCTTTTTTTTAATCCCTTTGTGTTTTTTGGTCGAGGGTTGGTGGCTGGTTCATGGTTTATTTTTTGTGACTTCTTTCTCTTTCTTTTTTATTTTTCCTTGTTTATAGGTTGGGGAAGCATTAGTTACATGTTTGGTTGTGATTATCTTTCTTATGGGTTGATTTTATTAAGATTCTGGATTTGTGTTTTGATGATTATGGCTAGAGAGCCTGTTTTACGTTCCGCTTATTATTCGGGCTTGTTTTTGTTTTTTGTTGTTTTGTTGGTTATTTTCTTGTTTTGTACTTTTGGGAGAGTGGGCTTGTTTTCTTTTTATATTTTCTTTGAGAGTAGTCTTATTCCTACTGTTTTTATTATTTTGGGTTGAGGGTATCAACCAGAGCGGCTTCAGGCGGGTATTTATTTACTCTTTTACACTTTATTAGCTTCTCTTCCCATGCTGGTGGGGATTTTTTTTGTTTTTAGTTCTTTACGTTCTGTTAGTTTCTTTATTTTGGCTGGGGCAGAAGTTTTTAGCTGTTTCTTGTATTTTTGTATGATTTTTGCCTTTTTGGTTAGGATGCCCATGTTTTTAGTTCATTTATGATTACCTAAGGCCCATGTGGAGGCCCCTGTGTCTGGTTCAATGATTTTAGCTGGGGTTTTGCTTAAATTAGGAGGATATGGTTTATTGCGTATTTTTCCTGTTTTGGTGAGGTTTTTTAGTTTTGGGTTGGTTTGGACTTCTGTAAGATTGGTAGGGGGGTTTTTGGTTAGATTAATTTGTATGCGTCAGACGGACCTTAAATCATTAATTGCTTACTCTTCTGTTGCTCACATAGGCCTTGTTATTGGTGGTATTATGACTTTGAGATATTGGGGGGTTTGTGGCTCCTTTGCTTTAATGATTGCGCATGGTTTGTGTTCTTCTGGGTTTTGTTTGGCAAATATTTCTTATGAGCGGACAGGTAGCCGTAGCTTGTTGATTAGTCGTGGTTTGTTGAGTTTTGTACCTAGAATAGCATTTTGATGGTTTTGTTGAGTGCTTGTAATATGGCTGCCCCCCCTTCTTTGAATCTTTTAGGGGAGATTAGACTACTTAATAGTTTAGTTTCTTGGTCTTGAGTTAGTATGTTGTTTTTGGTAATTTTGTCTTTCTTTAGAGCTGCTTACACTTTATATCTTTTCTCTTATAGACAACACGGGGCTTATTATTCTGGTGTTTATTCGTGTTCTTTGGGCTATTCTCGTGAGTTTTTATTATTGTTTCTTCATTGGCTTCCGTTGAATCTTTTTATTATAAAGGGGGATGTTGTTATGCTTTGGTTATAATTGCTTGAGTAGTTTAATAAAAATGCTGATTTGTGGGGTCAGTGATGTGTTCTTACCTTAGGCCTATGTTCTATTTATCTATTTGCTTTATTAGTTTTGTTTTTTTTTGTTTTTTGCTGGTGTGTGTTTGTTTGTTTGCGGTCTTTTTTTTGTGTTGAACGATTTAGTTTATTTTATTGAGTGGGAGATTATTACATTGAATTCTAGCAGAGTTGTTATGACTTTCTTGCTTGATTGAATATCTTTAATTTTTATGGGGTTTGTTTTTTTTTATTTCTTCTTTAGTTATTTTGTACAGAGACGATTATATACACCGTGATTTAAATATTAATCGTTTCATCTTGCTGGTCTTGATGTTTGTTCTTTCTATAATGTTTTTAATTATTAGACCTAATATAATTAGAATTTTACTGGGTTGGGACGGGCTTGTGCTGGTTTCTTATTGTTTGGTAATTTATTATCAGAATGTGAGGTCTTATAATGCTGGCATATTGACTGTTCTTTCTAATCGTGTTGGAGATGTCGCTTTGTTAATAGTTATTGCTTGGATAGTTAACTTTGGTAGTTGGAATTATATCTATTATTTAGATTTTTTGAGGGGCTCTTTTGAAATGACTTTAATCTCTTTGTTGGTCGTTTTGGCCGCTATAACTAAAAGCGCTCAGCTTCCTTTTTCTTCTTGGCTGCCAGCTGCGATGGCTGCCCCTACTCCTGTTTCTGCCTTAGTTCACTCTTCTACTTTGGTTACTGCTGGGGTTTATCTTTTAATTCGTTTCAGACCTGTCTTTGACGATTGGTTGTGTATTCTTCTTCTTGTTATTTCCGGCTTGACAATGTTTATAGCAGGGTTGGGGGCTAATTTTGAATATGATTTGAGGAGGATCATTGCTTTGTCTACTTTAAGACAGCTGGGTTTAATAATTAGTGCTATTTCTGTTGGTCTTGTTAGTTTGGCTTTTTTTCACTTGTTAACCCATGCTTTATTTAAGGCTCTGCTTTTTATGTGTGCGGGCCTTATTATTCATACGATGAGGGATTCTCAAGACATTCGTTTTATGGGTAATTTGTCAGTTCAAATACCTTTTACTTCAGTTTGTTTAGGTGTTTCTAGTTTTGCCTTATGTGGTATGCCTTTTCTCGCGGGGTTTTATTCTAAAGATCTTATTTTGGAGGCGGCTTCTTTCAGATATATTAACTTGGTGGGATTTTTGTTGTTTTTTGTTTCTACGGGGCTGACTGTTTGTTATTCTTTTCATTTGTTTTATTACGTTTTTTGTGGTGATTTTAATCTGTCTTCTTTCTATAATGTTAGTGATGCTAGTTTCATGATGTTGTGTGGCATGGTTGGCTTGATGTTGGTTGCTGTTTTCGGGGGGAGATTATTGAGATGGACGACTTTTCATGTGCCCGGTATAGTTTGTCTTCCTTTTTATTTGAAGTTTTTGACTATTTTTATTAGCTCATTAGGGGGTTGAATTGGTTATGAGTTGTCTAGGTTTAATTTAGGGGGTTCACTAATTTATTTTTTCTGTTATAGGTGTACAGTGTTTTCTGGTTCAATGTGGTTTATGCCTTATTTTTCTACTTATGGGGTGTCCTTTCGTCCTTTGTCGTTAGGTTATTCTCTGAGGGTTTCTGATTTTGGGTGGGCAGAGCGCTTAGGGGGCCAAGGTATGTATTGATTTATGATATTTTTAGGCAAGACCAATCAGTGGTGACAGTACAATAACTTGAGGTTGTTTTTGATGTTTTTTGTTATATGAGTTGTTGTCTTAATATTTATTGCTTACTTGAATATCTTATATTTAGAGTATAACATTGAAGATGTTATTGAGGTTTATATTCCTTCAAGTAGTATTTATGAAAGCTCCTTTATTTCTACAGTGAAAATGTAGTGTTTTTGTTAAACTACATAAATAGAAATGTAAACGGAGTTTAACCGCTAGAATGATAAGTTAGCAGCTTTCATTTGACCCCACACTTCCTTAATTGAAACTTCTTGGTTCAGTTTTATCATTAACAGTGATATACCTCTATTTAGTTTCAATTAATTAAAGCAAGGGTAATTTTTACCAATTTAAATCAAGTCGAAATTGATCGTGATAGTTCACTTCTTACTTTTGGTGAGGCAGACCCTATAGTACTTTTTGAATGCAACCCAAATGTTATGTTTAACTACAGCCCCCTTTTTCGTTTTTAGTTGGCCCATTCTAGCGCCCCTTGATTTCATTCATGGTATAGGCCAATAATTAGGATTAATAGGAAAATAGATCTGATTGTTATTCAGGATTTTATGTTCGATGATAGTATTACTACGGTTATTGGAAGTAGTAGTGCGATTTCTACGTCGAAGATCAGGAAGATTACAGCAATAAGGAAGAACCGTAATGAGAAAGGTAGTCGTGCAGATCTTTTTGGGTCGAACCCACATTCGAATGGTGATCTTTTTTCCCGGTCTTCGATGTTTTTTTGGATAGCACAGAAGTTAGAACTATAACGGCTGCTGTTACCATTAGGGCTAGTATTACCACGGCTGTGATTGTTATAATTACTTATCTTGTTAATACAAACGTCTTGATTGGAAGTCAAACATACTTATTATATTAGATAGGCTTATTTTATCTTCCTCATCAGTAAATTGAAATGTATAGGAATAATCATACTACGTCTACGAAGTGTCAATATCATGCGGCTGCTTCAAATCCGAAGTGGTGATTTGATGAGAAATGTAGATTTATTTGACGTAGCAGGCATGTTAGAAGAAATGTAGTTCCAATGATTACGTGTAGGCCGTGGAACCCTGTGGCTACGAAGAAGGTGGATCCGTAGCTTGAGTCTGCAATTGTGAAGGAGGCTTCCACATATTCATATGCTTGGAGGATCGTGAAATAATCTCCGAGGATTACTGTGAAGAACAATCCTTGTATTCTTTGTGTGTGGTTGTTTTCTAGAAGGCCGTGGTGAGCCCATGTGACTGTTACTCCTGATGCAAGGAGGATTGCTGTATTTAGTAAAGGGATTTGTATTGGGTTAAAAGGTAGGATTCCGGTTGGGGGCCAAGTAGAACCTAGTTCAATGGTGGGCGACAGTCTTCTGTGGAAGAATGCCCAGAAGAAGGAAATGAAGAAGAATACTTCTGAGATGATAAATAGAATTATACCCCACCGCAACCCCTTGGTTACTTTCTTCGTGTGTAGGCCTTGGTATGTCCCCTCTCGTACAATATCTCGTCATCATTGGATTATAGTTAAGATTATGATTAATCCTCCTATTGTTAATAGTTCTTGGTTGTATTGGTGGAATCACTTGATTATGCCAGATATTGTTACTATGGCTCCAATAGCCCCCGTTAGCGGCCAAGGTCTTTGTTCCACTAAGTGGAATGGGTGGTTTCTGTGTCTTGTCATTAATTGACTTCTCTAGAGTACAAAGTTCTTAGGACCGCAAATACATATGATTGGATTACTGCCACAGCTGATTCTAGGATTAGTAGTAAGATTTGTGCGAGAATTAATATCCCTAGAAGAGGTTGTGTGATTGTTGGCCCATTATTTCCTAGTAAGGTTAATAAGAGGTGCCCTGCAATTATATTTGCTGTTAGTCGGACTGCTAGTGTTCCTGGTCGGATAATGTTTCTGATCGTTTCGATGCAAACTATGAACGGTATTAGGGGTGTAGGGGTTCCTTGTGGGACTAGATGTTCGAATATGTGGTTTGTGTTGTTGATCCAACCAAATACTATAAATCTTAGCCATAAAGGCAGGGCTAGTGTTAGTGTTATGACTAGATGTCTTGTTCTGGTGAAGACGTATGGAAATAGGCCTAAGAAGTTGTTAAATAAGATTAACGAGAATAAGGAGATGAATAGAAAAGTTCTTCCTTTGTTGGTTCTCTTTTCTCCTAGGAGGGGTTTGAATTCGTTGTGTAGTTTTGTTAATAATGTATTTCACAGCAGCGGATATCGGGAAGGGGTTAATCATATTCTTATTGGAATGAGGGTTAATCCTAGGAAAGTTCTAAGTCAGTTTAAAGATAGGTATAGGTTTCTTGTTGATGGGTCAAATACTGAGAATAGGTTTCTTATCATTTTCAGGCCAATATTTTCTTTGAGGGGGCCTCTTTTTCTCTTTTCGTTTTGGTTTTTGGGTTTATTGTGTAGTAATTTAGTGTTGTGAATAAGATTAAAGTGGCTGAGAATATAATGAATAGTCTTAATCATCTTATTGGTATTATTTGTGGCATTAAAAAAGTGCTCGTGGAGCTACTTTGGTTTGACATACCAATATTATTTATTAACTAACTCTTTTCATCAGAAGTAATTGCTAATTTACTATTTACTGGTTTAAGAGACCACTACTTGCTTTCAGTCATCTGATGATTCTCTTACGCTTGATACTCAGTTAATGAATGTGTTAGTGTTAACTCTTTCAACTACAATTGGCATGAAGCTGTGGTTTGCCCCGCAGATTTCTGAGCACTGCCCGTAAAATAAACCAGGCCGGTTTATAAGGAATCTACACTGATTGAGCCGCCCTGGTGTGGCGTCTGTTTTGACCCCTAGTCTTGGAACTGTCCATGAGTGCAGTACGTCGGCTGCTGTGACAATAATTCGGATGAATGAATTTATTGGGAGCACGGTGTGATTATCTGTGTCTAATAGGCGGAAAGTTCTTTTGTCTTCTCTGTCTTGTGGTGTTATGTATGAGTCGAATTCTACTTTAATAAAGTCTGAGTATTCATATCTTCAATACCATTGGTGTCCGATCACTTTAAGCGTTAGTGTTGGTTCGTGGATTTCGTCTATAAGATAAAGTAGTCGTAAGGACGGTATTGCAATAAAGATTAAAATGATTGCTGGGACGATTGTCCACGCTACTTCGATTATTNATATCTCCAGTACCATTGGTGTCCGATCACTTTAAGGGTTAGTGTTGGTTCGTGGATTTCATCTATAAGATAAAGTAGTCGTAAGGACGGCATTGCAATAAAAATTAAAATAATTGCTGGGACGATTGTTCATGCTACTTCGATTATTTGGCCTTCTAGTACGAATCGGTTGGTGTTTTTATTGAGGGCTAAAGTGGTTATTATGTAGGCCACTACTGTGAGGATTATTAAAATAATTATTAGTGTGTGGTCGTGGAATGAAATTAGTTGTTCTATAATAGGTGACGCTCTGTCCTGTAGGTTTATATTTGCCCATGTTGTCATTTCTAAGAAAAGCTTGCGAGCTTTATGTGTGGAGCTTAAATCCACCGCACTTATCTGCCAAAATAGATTAATTAGTGTTGATTATTTCAGTATAACAATAGTTGGTAGTTCTGAGTATCTATGTTCTGCTGGCGGTAGGTTTTGTAGCCCTTCAATTGAGTTTCTTGTCTGTGTTGGGAAGAGAATTTGTCGGTTTGTTCTTATTCTTTCTCAGACAATGAAGATGAATATAAGGACTCTTACGAATGAGGTGGTTGCTCCGACGGAGGAGATAATATTTCATGTTGTGTAGGCGTCCGGGTAGTCTGAGTATCGTCGGGGCATTCCCGCCAACCCTAGGAAGTGTTGTGGGAAAAATGTTATGTTTACCCCTACAAATATCACTATGAATTGTGCTTTTAATCACTTAGGGTTTAAGGTTAATCCTGTGAATAAAGGGTACCATTGAATGAAGCCGGCTATGATTGCAAATACCGCCCCCATTGATAACACATAATGGAAGTGGGCTACGACGTAATAAGTATCGTGGAGAATAATGTCAATTGATGAGTTTGCTAGTACCACTCCTGTTAAACCCCCCATGGTGAATAAGAACACGAAGCCTAATGATCATAGGCACGTTGCTCTATATGACAGCTGTGATCCATACACTGTTGCCAACCAGCTAAAAATTTTGATTCCGGTTGGTACCGCAATGATTATAGTGGCTGATGTGAAGTAGGCCCGAGTATCAACATCTATTCCTACTGTAAATATGTGGTGTGCCCATACTACAAACCCCAGAAGACCAATCGCTAGTATAGCGAAGATTATTCCCAGGTTTCCGAAGGCCTCCTTTTTACCTCTTTCATGACAGATGATGTGTGAGATCATACCAAACCCCGGTAGAATTAAAATATAAACTTCTGGGTGCCCGAAGAATCAAAACAAATGTTGATATAGAATCGGGTCCCCCCTCCCCGCGGGATCGAAGAAAGATGTGTTAAGGTTTCGGTCTGTTAATAGCATAGTGATTGCCCCTGCTAGAACCGGCAATGATAGTAGTAGTAGTAGTAGGGCTGTAATTGCTACAGCTCACACAAACAAGGGAATTCGATCTGGTCTTATGCTTGCGGGCTTTATGTTGATTGTTGTTGAGATAAAGTTTACTGCCCCCAGGATTGAGGAAACACCTGCCAAGTGTAATGAGAAGATAGCCAGGTCTAAGGACGCCCCAGCATGCGCAATACCTCTGGCGAGAGGAGGATAAACTGTCCATCCTGTTCCAGCCCCTCTTTCTACTATATTTCTGGTTAAGAGTAGCGTTAGTGATGGGGGCAGTAATCAGAATATTATGTTGTTTATTCGGGGGAAGGCCATATCTGGGGCACCGAGTATTAAAGGCACTAATCAGTTCCCGAATCCCCCAATTATGATTGGTATTACCATGAAGAAAATTATTACGAAGGCGTGAGCCGTTACAATTACGTTGTAGATTTGATCATCTCCGATAAGAGACCCAGGTTGACCTAGTTCGGTTCGGATTAACATTCTTAAAGAAGTTCCGACCATTCCTGACCAGGCCCTAAAGATAAAATATAAAGTTCCAATGTCTTTATGATTAGCTGAGAATAATCACGGATTGATAATGAGTAGAGTGGCTGAGGTTGACAAGTGATAGATTGTAAGTCTATAAAGGGGAATTACCCCTCTACTATAAGCCTTGTATACATTGTGTACAGGAAATCACGAGTTCTTAGAGCTGGCATTCTTGTAATTGAAATGTGTAGTTTAGTCTAGAACATGTATAGTGATGTGTTGGTTTCTTGTTTTAATGCTTATGAGATCGTTGAAGGATATTTTCTTAGGTTCAGATCGTAATCAGTGATTTTCCTATCGAATATTTGAGCACTGCTATTTTGGGGTGGATAACTTTCATAATGAGTATATGTATATCCTTGACATATGTCGAAAAACGTAATAAAGTTTATAATGGAAACATTTGAAAAGAGAATATTTCGGAAAATGTTGTAAATTGTAAGTCATTCAAGATAATTGTGATATCATTCACTTGGGAGCGTACTGCAATGCCAATATTTCGGAAAAAATGCATTTACGACCATTATAATAACGGAAATATATCCCAGGTTACATAGCTTACGTACTTAGAGTAAGAGAAAAATATATGCAAGAGTTTATCATGTGAGAAAATTCGGAAATAAAATGTCCCATATGAATAAATAATGATTTCATACGCTATAAGAGACATTCAATCGTAAGATATTGAAGAGGGCTAAACCGTGCTGAACTGACCATAATTATGCGCAGTATTCATTTGAGCACACCTATCATAATGTACACTCACAACCTAACATTAGTGTAAATTACCGAGCTTCGCCCCCTCCAAGATACAGATGGATGCGCAGTAGTCTACGGCGCAAACCTAACCTAACCTAACGCAACCTAACATAAGCGAATGGTACCCAAGGGGACCCCCTGAGATACAGTTGGATGCGCAGTAGTTCACTGCGTACACGTAAGTGTGACGTCATTTGCGAAGCTGCTATTTCACCGAACGTAATATAGGACTGTCGTAACGTGGAATATAATTCGAAATATGACGTTATTTATAAAATTGAGCGTGTGGACTGTTTTTCCACCCATAATATCAATCTGTGCTCTTATATTCCGATGTTGTATTGCTACGTGATAGCTTAGATTGTGTCGAAAATGCCGCTCCCACCTCACGAGTTTGCGAATCCGCCACGGTGATAGAAATGACTACTGAATATTACGTATTATGGCATTATGCTGCCCTCCAATGGCATAACGTTATGACGAAAAATCTTTATTATCAGTGAAGTCGTTCCCTTCTTTGTCGTGAATGGATACGGGACGAATTGAGTGACTGCTTGGCATATGTTTCGCCCGAATTTCCCTGCCTGAATAGGAAGTAGAGTATGAATTATACACGAAAATGTGTAAAAAATAGGGTGAAAAATTACCGTCCTGTAATGGAACTGATAATGGAATATTTCTGTTTCAGTCATGTTAAGCGGTTGGCTGCCCTGTCACTGTGACGTAAATATCCGGTGTACAAGATGAAGGTATGTTTCTTTCCTGGTATGAAGATGTGTTTATAAATAATAAGACGGTGTTGTGTGTGTATGTTTATATACATATATGTTTCAGTTGTGATTAATTATCTGCCTGAAAGTATATCTTAAAGATTGAGTGAGACAGTGCAAATGGTAAGCTTTAATGTGTGTATTATCCTGGACCGATTAATGGCGAGTGCACGAAATTTTACAAACTTGTGTTTGGTCTGTTCCACAACGAAATGGAAGTGTTTTCCCTGTGAACCATGAAAGTGAAGTATGTGTGAAGGAAGAATACACCATAAATTACATTTATCGATTTAACGAAAGTAAGTGCATATAAGTATAGTGGGTGTGTAGTGAAAGACAGTGTGTGTTTGAGGTTATTCTTGCACTATTATTAATAATCTCGTGTGAAGTGTGTACAGTGATTTGCACAAGATGTGTATTAGTGGTTATATGGATTGAGAGTGAATTAGATTTTATGAGGGCATATTTGTTATGTAGCCTCTGAATATGACAGGTGTGTGTAGGTTATTAGTCAAAATGATATACTTCTTTTTTTGCATTAGTGTATGTACTTGTGAGAAGAGGGTGCAAAGTGAATTTCTAGTTCCCATTGAAGAATTTATTATTTGTATTTACATCGTAGTTTTTTGTGGTAGTGTTGTGGGTATAGTGTATGTTGTTTTGGTCACAATAATGTCGAGTGTAAAGTGAAGTTTAAATTCTCTAGTGTGAGGTTATATTTTTGTGTATAATGTATACAGTGATGTGTAGTGTTTTAAAAAATATTAAGAATTCCATTCACTCACAGTGGATTCAAAAGTTTCCCGTTTTATGTACATATCTTGTTTGCATGAAGAATGCTTGCTTATAAGAAGGTGATATGCAAAGTGAAACACATGTTGACATTGGTGTTATGCTGGCAGTGCTGTTCAGTGACAGTGTAAACTGGGCACAGTTGTGTGTAGAGTATGTGTTATAGCATGAAGAATGATGGCAAGTGATTTGTAAGTATATGTATGTGTATGTGTATTTCTGTGTGATAGACAAGTGATTGCATTCTTGGCATCTGATCTTCCAGGCTTACATGTTCTATCTGGTAGTACACAGCATGAGGAAATTATTTTATTTGCACCTATTAAACTGCTTAAAAGTGACATTGTGTACAGGAAAGCACGAGTTGTTAGAGCTGGCATTCTTGTAATTGTAATGTGTAGTTTAGTCTAGAACATATATAGTGATGTGTTGGTTTCTTGTTTTAATGCTTATGAGATCGTTGAAGGATATTTTCTTAGGTTCAGATCGTAATCAGTGATTTCCCTATCAAATATTTGAGCACTGCTATTTTGGGGTGGATACCATTCATATAGAGTATATGTATATCCTTGACATATGTCGAAAAACGTAATAAAGTTAATAATGGAAACATTTGAAAAGAGAATATTTCGGAAACTGTTGTAAATTGTAAGAGTCATTCAAGATAATTGTGATATCATTCACTTGGGAGCGTTCTGCAATGTCAATATTTCGGAAAAAATGCATTTACGACCATTATAATAACGGAAATATATCCCAGGTTACATAGCTTACGTAGTTAGAGTAACAGAAAAATATATGCAAGAGTTTATCATGTGAGAAAATTCGGAAATAAAATGTCCCATATGAATAAATAATGATTTCATACGCTATAAGAGACATTCAATCGTAAGATATTGAAGAGGGCTAAACCGTGCTGAACTGACCATAATTATGCGCAGTATTCATTTGCGCACACCTATCATAATGTACACTCACAACCTAACATTAGTGTAAATTACCGAGCTTCGCCCCCTCCAAGATACAGATGGATGCGCAGTAGACTACTGCGCAAACCTAATCTAACCTAACCTAACGCAACCTAACATAAGCGAATGGTACCCAAGGGGACCCCCTGAGATACAGTCGGATGCGCAGTAGTTCACTGCGTACACGTAAGTGTGACGTCATTTGCGAAGCTGCTATTTCACCGAACGTAATATAGGACTGTCGTAACGTGGAATATAATTCGAAATATGACGTTATTTATAAAATTGAGCGTGTGGACTGTTTTTCCACCCATAATATCAATCTGTGCTCTTATATTCCGATGTTGTATTGCTACGTGATAGCTTAGATTGTGTCGAAAATGCCGCTCCCACCTCACGAGTTTGCGAATCCGCCACGGTGATAGAAATGACTACAGAATATTACGTATTATGGCATTATGCTGCCCTCCAATGGCATAACGTTATGACGAAAAATCTTTATTATCAGTGAAGTCGTTCCCTTCTTTGTCGTGAATGAATACGGGACGAATTGAGTGACTGCTTGGCATATGTTTCGCCCGAATTTCCCTGCCTGTATAGGAAGTAGAGTATGAATTATACACGAAAATGTGTAAAAAATAGGGTGAAAAATTACCGTCCTGTAATGGAACTGATAATGGAATATTTCTGTTTCAGTCATGTTAAGCGGTTGGCTGCCCTGTCACTGTGACGTAAATATCCGGTGTACAAGATGAAGGTATGTTTCTTTCCTGGTATGAAGATGTGTTTATAAATAATAAGACGGTGTTGTGTGTGTATGTTTATATACATATATGTTTCAGTTGTGATTAATTATCTGCCTGAAAGTATATCTTAAAGATTGAGTGAGACAGTGCAAATGGTAAGCTTTAATGTGTGTATTATCCTGGACCGATTAATGGCGAGTGCACGAAATTTTACAAACTTGTGTTTGGTGTGTTCCACAACGAAATGGAAGTGTTTTCCCTGTGAACCATGAAAGTGAAGTATGTGTGAAGGAAGAATACACCATAAATTACATTTATCGATTTAACGAAAGTAAGTGCATATAAGTATAGTGGGTGTGTAGTGAAAGACAGTGTGTGTTTGAGGTTATTCTTGCACTATTATTAATAATCTCGTGTGAAGTGTGTACAGTGATTTGCACAATATGTGTATTAGTGGTTATATGGAATGAGAGTGAATTAGATTTTATGAGGGTATATTTGTTATGTAGCCTCTGAATATGACAGGTGTGTGTAGGTTATTAGTCAAAATCATATACTTCTCTTTTGCATTAGTGTATGTACTTGTGAGAAGAGGGTGGAAAGTGAATTTCTAGTTCCCATTGAAGAATTTATTATTTGTATTTACATCGTAGTTTTTTGTGGTAGTGTTGTGGGTATAGTGTATGTTGTTTTGGTCACAATAATGTCGAGTGTAAAGTGAAGTTTAAATTCTCTAGTGTGAGGTTATATTTTTGTGTTAATGTATACAGTGATGTGTAGTGTTTTAAAAAATATTAAGAATTCCATTCACTCACAGTGGATTCAAAAGATTCCCGTTTTGTGTACATATCTTGTTTGCATGAAGAATGCTTGCTTATAAGAATGTGATATGAAAAGAGAAACACATGTTGACATTGGTGTTATGCTGGCAGTGCTGTTCAGTGACAGTGTAAACTGGGCACAGTTTTGTGTAGAGTATGAGTTATAGCATGAAGAATGATGGCAAGTGATTTGTAAGTATGTGTATGTGTATGTGTATTTCTGTGTGATAGACAAGTGATTGCATTCTTGGCATCTGATCTACCAGGCTTACAAGTTCTATCTGGTAGTATACAGCATGAAGGAATTATTTTATTTCCACCTATTAAACTGCTTAAAAGTCACATTGTGTACAAGAAAGGACGAGTTGTTAGAGCTGGCATTCTTGTAATTGTAATGTGTAGTTTAGTCTAGAACATGTATAGTGATGTGTTGGTTCCTTGTTTTAATGCTTATGAGATCGTTTAAGGATATTTTCTTAGGTTCATATCGTAATTAGTGATTTCCCTATCGAATATTTGAGCACTGCTATTTTGGGATGGATACCTTTCATATAGAGTATATGTATATCCTTGAAATATGTCGAAAAACGTAATAAAGTTAATAATGGAAACATTTGAAAAGAGAATATTTCGGAAACTGTTGTAAATTGTAAGAGTCGTTCAAGATAATTGTGATATCATTCACTTGGGAGCGTTCTGCAATGTCAATATTTCGGAAAAAATGCATTTACGACCATTATAATAACGGAAATATATCCCAGGTTACATAGCTTACATAGTTAGAGTAACAAAAAATATATGCAAGAGTTTATCATGTGAGAAAATTCGGAAATAAAATGTCCCATATGAATAAATAATGATTTCATACGCTATAAGAGACATTCAATCGTAAGATATTGAAGAGGGCTAAACCGTGCTGAACTGACCATAATTATGCGCAGTATTCATTTGCGCACACCTATCATAATGTACACTCACAACCTAACATTAGTGTAAATTACCGAGCTTCGCCCCCTCCAAGATACAGATGGATGCGCAGTAGTCTACTGCGCAAACCTAACCTAACCTAATCTAACCTATCCTAACACAACTTAACATAAGCGAATGGTACCCAAGGGGACCCCCTGAGATACAGTCGGATGAGCAGTAGTTCATTGCGTTCACGTAAGTGTGACGTCATTTGCGAAGCTGCTATTTCACCGAACGTAATATAGGACTGTCGTAACGTGGAATATAATTCGAAATATGACGTTATTTATAAAATTGAGCGTGTGGACTGATTTTCCACCCATAATATCAATCTGTGCTCTTATATTCCGATGTTGTATTGCTACGTGATAGCTTAGATTGTGTCGAAAATGCCGCTCCCACCTCACGAGTTTGCGAATCCGCCACGGTGATACAAATGACTACAGAATATTACATATTATGGCATTATGCTGCCCTCCAATGGCATAACGTTATGACGAAAAATCTTTATTATCAGTGAAGTCGTTCCCTTCTTTGTGTCTGTATGGATACGGACGAATTGAGTGACTGCTTGGTATAAGTTTCGCCCAATTACCCTGCCAGAATAGGAAGTAGAATATGAATTATACACGAAAATGTGTAAAAAATATGGTGAAAAATTACCGTCCTGTAATGGAAGTGATGATGGGATATTTCTGTTTCAGTCATGTTAAGCGGTTGGCTGCCCTGTCACGGTGACGTAAATATCCGGTGTACAAGATGAAGGTATGTTTCTTTCCTGGTATGAAGATGTGTTTATAAATAATAAGACGGTGTTGTGTGTGTGTGTTTATATACATATATGTTCCAGTTTTGATTAATTATCTGCCTGAAAGTATATCTTAAATATCGAGTGAGACAGTGCAAATGGTAAGCTTTAATGTGTGTATTATCCTGGACCGATTAATGGCGAGTGCACGAAATTTTACAAACTTGTGTTTGGTCTGTTCCACACCGAAATGGAAGTGTTTCCCCTGTGAACCACGAAAGTAAAGTATGTGTGAAAGAAGAATACACCATAAATTACATTTATCGATTTAACGAAAGTAAGTGCATATAAATATAGTGGGTGTGTAGTGGAAGACAGTGTGTGTTTGAGGTTATTCTTGCACTATTATTAATAATCTCGTGTGAGGTGTGTACAGTGATTTGCACGAGATGTGTATTAGTGGTTATATGGATTGAGAGTGAATTATATTTTATGAGGGCATATTTGGTATGTAGCTTCTGAATATGACAGGGGTGTAGGTTATTAGTCAAAATTATATACTTCTTTTTTGCATTATTGTATGTACTTGTGAGAAGAGGGTGCAAAGTGAATTTCTAGTTCCCATTGCAGAATTTATTATTTGTATTTACATCGTAGATTTTTGTGGTAGTGTAGTGGGTATAGTGTAAGTTGTTTGGTCACAATAATGTCGAGTGTAAAGTGAAGTTTAATTGCTCTAGTGTGAGGTTATATTTTTATGTATAATGTATACAGTGATGTGTAGTGTTTTAAAAAATATTAAGAATTCCATTCACTCACAGTGGATTCAGCAGTTTCTCGTTTTATGTACATATCTTGTTTGCATGAAGAATGCTTGCTTATAAGAAGGTGATATGCAAAGTGAAACACATGTTGACATTGGTGTTATGCTGGCAGTGCTGTTCAGTGACAGTGTAAACTGGGCACAGTTGTGTGTAGAGTATGTGTTATGGCATGAAGAATGATGGCAAGTGATTTGTAAGTATGTGTATGTGTATGTGTATTTCTGTGTGATAGACAAGTGATTTCATTCTTGGCATCTGATCTTCCAGGCTTACATGTTCTATCTGGTAGTATACAGCATGAGGGAATTATTTTATTTCCACCTATTAAACTGCTTAAAAGTCACATTGTGTAAAGGAAAGCACAAGTTGTTAGAGTTGGCATTCTTGTAATTGTAATGTGTAGTTTAGTCTAGGACATATATAGTGATGTGTTGGTTTCTTGTTTTAATGCTTATGAGATTGTTGAAGGATATTTTCTTAGGTTCAGATCGTAATCAGTGATTTCCCTATCGAATATTTGAGCACTGCTATTTTGGGGTGGATACTTTCATATAGAGTGTATATATATCATTGACATATGTCGAAAAACGATATAAAGCTAATAATGGAAACATTTGAAAAGGGAATATTTCGGAAGCTGTTGTAAATTTTAAGAGTCATTCAAGATAATTGTGATATCATTCACTTGGGAGCGTTCTGCAATGTCA